ACACCTCCTTGTTGAACCGGTTGACCCCGGTTCAACCTAGCCCCCACATCAAAATCATTAAGTGATTTGGTTACGATAAAAAAAGTAGCATGAAACTCAACGAAGTTCTCCCATAATAGATGAGAATTGTCTTCATATTCTTGATGTTGTAACAAAATTATGTATTTCTTGTTTGTGCTTAAAAAATGCATTAGTTTTTTGTTGTAAACAAGAATGTAAGGCTCTTCCTATTCTCGGTGAGACTTGAAGCACGATAGTACACAAATGATCGAATAGCTTGCGCAATTTTTAAGGAATTCTACATTTACTTATCAAATAAGATAGTCTGACCATCCTTCACCACAACCACTCGTGATTGTTGGTAAACAACAAATCCATCAACTGTTACATCATAATATAAATACTTAGGTTCTTTTTCCATTTTGAATAACATCTTACACCTGCATGTCTTCAAATTCACAAGTTTTTCTCTGAAAGTAAGTTTCACAATCTTCTTTAAGCAACATGAGAGAATATGCTTATATAAAATATTTTTTTTTGTGCTCTCTTTATCACTATCTTTGTATTTGTATCACGCTTGTCATCAATTGGCATAAGAGTTCTAATTACTAGATCTAAAAAACTCCCCATAATAAATTTTAATAACAATAAAAAGTCTCTTCCCTTTCGTCAAACATCACATCGCTTCTAAGCCATGTCTCTTTGATGCAACCAGTTAGCCCACCTTCTAGCTTGTGGACCTTTAGCTAAACTTCAGATAACCATGAGTCACAACCCATGCAATTCTTATAATTACATAATATTTTAAATCTATAATGCAAATTGCTAATCATTTCTCAATCACCCATAAACGTTGCATCATATTGGATTCCCTAATTGTAATATTATTGCAGTGCCTTCACATTATGCAAATCATGCATCAGCAAACCAACGAAATGCGTCTACTTATTATGAAAGCTTTATGCATCTTTAACCCTTCGCTTGCATTCCCACTGGCAATTCACCTATTAAATTCATATTCCTAAAGAAATAACTCCCGCAAATCTCATGCACCCTTTTGAATCATGCTTGCGTTTGAACGCCCATTGCACATCATACACAAACCAGCACACTCCCCATCGTCTCATCATTTCTCCAATAATTTTCTACCAGCAAACCTGCATTGCATATCTCATATCGACATCCACACAAAACATTGAAGTTTTGCAAACCCGATGCTTCAATCAGTTAGTACATCCAAGCCAAAATCAATTTAAAAAGGGTTCAAAGACCTCGATCTTACAAACGCCTTCTAGAAAGTTTTCATAATATAACTGAGGATCAATTATGAGAGCAAGGGTAGCTCTTCCCTCAAGACTTAACTTCCTAATAAAGGATTTCAAAATCATAACGTCTTCTTCTAAATAGATTTGTGATTTATTTCTTCTTATGGATGAATTTTGAAAGTTTTGCAGCAAAGGACTCCAATTTCATCCAATATTTCAAAACCCTAGAGTACTTTGCAGCCTAAGAAAATTAATGTACTATTAGTCTACCTCAGTCCTTATTCATGAGTATATATTTTCAATATTATTAAATGCATCATGCAGTTATGATTCTTGGTCATGTCATCATATGAAGAAAATTACTTTTAACTTTCTAGTGAGAGTAGAGTTCTATGCAACCAAAGAAATTAGTGTAGTGCAAGTTTACCCCAATCCTTATACCTGAGCCAATAATTTCAATATTATTCAATGTTACCATGCAGTCACCCTTGTTTATCATCTTATCAAATATGCCGGTAAAATAATAATTAGAAATTTAAATATGTATGTCATTATTCAAATTTTACCAAAGTTGGAATGTCCTTAAATTTATGGCTAAAATAAATAGTAAGTCTTGAGCTATAATTCAAATGATAAAAATACAAGTCTTGCACGTGGCATCCAGAATGGGGATTAAATCACCAATCTAAGGTTCCTTCATGCTCCCAATCATTATAATCTTGTCTCCATTAAAAAAAGTGGATTTGCTTAATTTCCTTAATCCCATTCATACATGTCAGTAGCTCAAAATATCTCACACAATAGCCCATAATATAGTATAACAAACTTCTTACATTATGTGCACTATAAAGCATAGTGCAAATGTCACACAATACTTTTTTTAATTGTTTGGTTTATTGCTCAACTTAAACTATTTGCATGTAAAACAAATAAATACTTCATTATAGGCTTCACATAGCATAATGAGTGTCTTCATTACAAGATTCAATTATTATACAAACAAATGTGTTATATTGAGTACTTCAAATAGTATGGCATATTGCTAAGGAGAAATCTTTATCCTACTCCGCAAGATTTCTCAACACGTATGGCATATTGCTACGTATAAATCTTATTAAGCCCGCACCCACAAATCAACAAAAAATATCTCCATCTCATCCAAACCTCCAGCATCTACACCCTTTTACTACATTCTCGCTTGTAATTCATGAATCAAACTCACTATCACTATGCTCGACTCCCATAGATCTTCTGCGCTCCTTCATAGAAACTCACATAAATTCATATGCATTTGGCTGCCATGTGCCCATTTTGTGCAAAATAGTATAATCTATATTGATATAATTGCATCTTGAAAAAACTCCACTTGCAAACTCCCATCTGCACATCTCATATTCATTTTCATTGCCTTGCTCGTCATCACAGGATATCTCATCTCAAGTATATTTTGCTGGCACTTAGATAATGATTATAAAAATTAAAAGCAGAATATTGGTCAATAACGAAGCCAAAATAAAATTAGAAATTCTTTGGTCACCAATCAAGTTACTGTGAATTCTAATCATAATGCCATCATATATATACTAATGCATATACTAATACATACATACATACATACATACATACATCTATA